AAGGAAGGAAGGAAATCTGTTTGATCTCGTTAGCAAGAATGACAACATTAACCGAGTAGACAAATAGTTTCTCAGTCCCACCAATAGTTCCAATGGAGAAAGACTTAGAAGATGCAAACAGGGGAACCAAACTAGACATTTCCTGTACAAAGATAACTCACCTTTTGTTTAATGCTTTTCTACCAACGAAAAGCGATTCCATTCTGATTGATCTGTCCCAGAATTTCATTGTACCTAGAAGTCACCGTGTTGGCTCGGCTGGTCAGTTGGGCGAGGACATGATATAAGCCAGAAATGTGATACCGAACGAGTCCTTCAAGGTCTGTCTTCTCCTTAGCTGCTTCTTCTTCTTCTTCTTCCTTGGACCTGAGACTCTTGTCGTTAAGAGGAGGTAGACCACTCTCAACCGTTAACTTGACGGATTTTAGAAGCGTGTAGTAGTGGTAGAGATCTCTGTCGCAGGACCTTTCCATCGCAGCGTTGACTCCAGCTGGGTCATCCTGGTCTTCCAACAAGACCCCCTGGAGAAGGCTGGGAAACATCACCGTTTGTTCCATGTTACGGACCGCGGAGAAGTATCTTTGCATGGGAATTCGTTCTCCATAGTGATTCTCCATGGCTGAACCTTCAAGACGAGCGCCTTCAAGCACTCTTCAAGTTGGGTTGGCTGTGAAACCTTTAGCTCTTGATCTGGAAAGTGCCAATTTATAGACCGACATGGCCAAATCCTGGCCTGTCACCAAACACGATGGGGGTGGTTTTTTGGGCCACTCAAGTCCAGGAAATTTCAAGATTTGGGGGGAGTGTCTTGTTGTGATCACTAACGTGACTTTATTTTCGGTCTGGAATCATTTCCAAACTCTTCCTCGTAGTGTGTTATTCCTTGGCCTTGTGGCGTTCAGACAAGTTGGCCCAGGAACAAGGGGGCGAGACAGCCGCGATTGAGACACCAAGGCTGGCCCAGCATGAATTGTCTCCCAACAGTTTTTTTGGCTGACACGAAACTGGGACGAAGCCGCGCAAAGAGCCAGCAAAGAACATTTCATAATTTATGCCAATTGTGAAACCGGTTCATCTCGCTGTTGGCCGGGATGCCCGTTGTTTGCAGAAGGGTTATCCAATCACCGCAAGAGACAAAGACACAAGTCAGTATACAGTACTGTGATCTGTAAAGATACAGGCGCTCCTCGGCTTACAACCACTCGTTTAGTGACGGTTCGAAGTTACAACACCTCTGAAAAAAATGACTTATGACCAGCCCTTATACTGAAGATGGTTGCAGTATCCCCTGGGTCAGGGGTGGGCAACCTTGGCTCTTTTAGGACTCGTGGACTTCAACTCCCAGAATACCTGAGCCAGCCATGCTGAGGGGAAAGGGAGAGGTTTCCATGCTGAGCCATGCTGGCTCAGGAATTCTGGGAGTTGAAGTCCACAAGTCATGAAGGGGGCCTTAGTTCCTCCCTGCTGACTGAGGAATTCTGGGAGTTGAAGTCCACGAGTCATGAAGGGGCCATAGTTCCCCCATTCTGGCTGAGGAATTCTGGGAGTTGTAGTCCACAAGTCATGAAGGGGCCATAGTTCCCCCATGCTGGCTCAGGAATTCTGGGAGTTGAAGTCCATGAGTCATGAAGGAGCATAGTTTCTCCCATGCGGGCTGAGGAATTCTGGGAGTTGAAGTCCACAATTATGAAGGGGCCAAGTCTGCCCTGGGTCATGTGATCAAAATTCGGGAGCTTGGCAACCAACGTGTATTTACGAGGGTTGCAGCATCCCAGGGTCATGTGATCGCCTTTTCTGACCTTCCCAGCTTGCTTCCGACAAGCAAGGACAATGAGGGAACCTGGATTCACTTAACGGTTGCATGGTTTACTTAATGGCAGTGGGTTTGCTTAACAACAATTGTACAAAGAGCCATGGTGACGCAGTGGTTAGGATGCGGTATTGCAGGCTAATTCTGCCAACTGCCAGGAGTTCGATCCTGAGCGGCTCAAGGTTGACTTGGCCTTCCATCCTTCCGAGGTCGGTAAAATGAGGACCCAGATTGTTGGGGGGGGGAGGCAAGAGGCTGACTCTGTAAACCGCTTGGAGAGGGCTGTAAAGCACTGTGAATCGGTATATAAGTCTAAGTGCTATTGCTAAGTGCGAAGGAAGGAAGGAAGGAAGGAAGGAAGGAAGGAAGGAAGGAAGGAAGGAAGGAAGGAAGGAGACGTGGTGGTGCAGTGGTTAGAATGCATATTGCAGGTTAACTCTGCCCACTGTCAGGAGTTCGATCCTGACCTGCTCAAGGTTGATTCGGCCTTCCATCCTTCCGAGGTCGGTAAAATGAGGGCTTGGATTGTTGGGGGCAATATGTTGACTCTGTAAACTGTATAGAGAGGGCTGTAAAGCACTGTGAAGTGGTATATAAGTCTAAGTGCTATTGCTGTTGCTAAAATTGGAGTGATTTGCTTAACATCTGCCTAGCTTAGCAACAGAAATTCCGGTCTCAATTGCAGTCGTAAGTCGAGGACCACCTGTATTTAGCAGAGACTGAGACTGCAGACTCGGGTTTGATTTGATTCTTCCTTGGGTGCCCAGTGACATACCTACAATGCCAAAATGTCTACCGAGGCCTCCCTTGGCTTTCTTACTTGCTATCAAATTTCACCCTTACAGGGAGTCCTCAACTGAACGACCACCGATGTAGCTCAAAATTACTGTTGCTAAGCAAGGCGTTAAGTGAGTCTTGCCCCCATTTTACCACCTTTCTTGCCCCAGTTGTTCAGTGAATCGCTGCAGTCGTTAAGTCAGTCATCCGGTCGTTAAGCGAACCCGGCTTCCTCTATTGACTTTGCTTGTCAGAAGGTCACAAAAGGGGGATCCCGTGAACCCCCCGGGAGACGCTGCGACCATCGTAAATATGAACCAGTTGCCAAGCGTGTGAATTTTGATCACGTGACCCTGGGGAGGCTGTAACGGTCGTAAGTACGAAAAATGGTCGTCAGTCGCTTTTTTTCAGTGCAATTGTAACTTTGGTCACTAAACTAGTAAGTTAAGTTGTGGATCTATAGTTGTGGACCTGGTCAGTAAATTAGGGCAGAGATCCCCAACCTTTCGGGCACCGGGGACCGGTTCCATGGAGAAAGTTTTTTTCCGTGGACCGGAGGGGGTGCGTGGTTTTGTGTGCTGCCTGCATCCCACGGATGGGGCTTTGCTTGTTTGTGCGGACCGGTTGCTGGCATGCCGCGGCCCAGTATTGGTCCACGGCCTGGGGATTGGGGAACCCTGGTCTAACAGAATGACAGAAGGGATAGAAAATAAAGAGGGCTAAATCAGAGAAGGTAACATGGTAGGAGAACCAAGATTTTAGCTTCTTATTGGCTTCCCCGTTTTTAACCCACTGGAGTTTTCTTTAAACTTCACAGCCATAACTGGTCTCCCCCACCTGAAGGCCGAATCTGCAGGTCTTCTCTTGAGAAAGAAATGGCCCCTTTCTCACTGACATGATCCAGGTCTCTCTCCTTTCCTTTCTCCATTCAAAGGTGTCCTGTCCATGTAGAACAGAGGTCCCCAACCTTTTGGGCACCAGGGACCCGTTCCGTGGAGAGAGGTTTTTCTGCAGACTGCAGGGTGCGTGGTTTTGTGTGCTGCCAGCATCCCGCAAATGGGGCTTTGCTTGTTTGTGCGGACCGGTTGCTAGCATGCCTCGGCCCGGTTCCGGTCCACGGACCGGGGGCTGGGAGCCCCTGAATTAGGGGACCAAAAAGTCAGGCAAAAGATATCTCAGGAAAACCTTGGAAGAATGGAAGGTGCGCTCTGGAAAATATTCAACCACTCTGGCCTCAGGCAACCCAAAACTTTGTGACTTTTGATAAGGGTTTCCAAAGCGTTTCAATCGTGCAATATTAGTACAGTGCTGTGCAATAATTAGCACATGGACACGGCCACAGCGAGTGAGCCAAACAAACCGAGGGCAGCCAGCTTTCCTTTTGGAGACAAATTTCACACTGTGGGGATTTCTCAATTTTTGTTTGTTGTCCTCAGCTGTTTGTTCAACCCTGACTCGGTTGCCTGCAAAATGCCACCTTTTCCCTTATTGTCCCCCCCCCTTTTTATTGTGGCATTATAAATCTTGATAAGATATAGGCTATTTCAATACAACAGTGTTCATATAGGAGAACTAAATTCTTCGTGTTCCGTTACCTTGTGGTGGTAGAAAGGTGAAAGAAAAAACGAAGTCTCTATCAATATTAATTACAATCAGGCTGTCAAATTAGAATAGAATTAGAATAGAATAGAGTTGGAAGGGACCTTAGAGGTCATCTAGTCCAGTCCCCTGCTTGAGCAGGAGAACCTATACCATTTCAGACAAGTGACTGTCCAGTCTCTTCTTTAAAATCTCCAGTGATGGAGCGCCCACGATTTCTGGTGGCCAGCTGTTCCACTGGTTAATTGTCCTCACTGTTAGGACCCTTAATTCGAGGTTGCTTCTCTCTTTGATCAGTTTCTAACCATTGTTTCTTGTCCTGCCTTCAGGTCCCTTGGAGAATAATTTGACCCCTTTGTGGCAGCCCCTCAGATACTGGAATACTGCTATCATGTCTCCCCTATTTCTTCTTTTTTTTAAATCAGGATGATTGTATTTTTGTCATTCAAAATTAAATATAACATTGGAAAGGTAGGGATGGAAGAAGAACATGCGATGTACATCCAGGAATTTCTTACATAATTAAGATTTCAGTCTTAATCTTAATTACTTCATATGGAAATATCTATCTATCTATCTATCTATCTATCTATCTATCTATCTATCTATCTATCTATTTGTTTAACATCTATCATGTCTCTCATGTATCAATCATCTGTCTCTTTCATGATATCATCTATCATGTGTCTCATCTATCTCTCATCTCTCATCTATTTTGTCTCATCTATCAATCATCTCTCTCATCTGTGTCTATCTATATCTCTCAATCTATCTATCCATCCATCTCATCTATGTCTCTGTCTGTCTGTCTGTCTGTCTGTCTGTCTATCTATCTATCATCTCTATCTATCATCTATCAACCATCTATCTATCTATATCTATTGCTCCCTTGGTGCTCTTGGAACTTGGTTGTTTATAATATAGATATATCTGTCTGTGTTTTATACATGTTAATAAAAGAAAGAGAGAGAGAGAGGGAGGGAGAGGGGGGGGGAGACTGCTTTTTCTTTTGAGGAATAGTTTAGCTATGTCATTTGGAAGTGATCCATTTGCATCAGCTGAGCTCTTGACTCCATTATTGGCTGTTATTGATCCAAATGACCCAGGAGTCAGCTTGGGTCAAATTACAGAACTGAAGTCCAATTTTACAGGGACAGTGTTAGAAATGTGTAAATAATGCCACTTTGCCAGGGGCAGAAAAAGAGGTGTGGGAGACGGAGGGAACCTGATTTTGCTGGGAACCAAGGGGTGTCCTTTGATGGATCATGCCAGAGGGGCCGATCTTCTGCCCGGTCTTCTTCATAAATGGTCCTCAATGATCTGGAAGGCTTAACCCACCCTTTTGCTCCTTGCCACAATCCCAGCTGGGCGCAGACTTTGACGTACCAGCTGACTCCAGGCTTCTTCTGCAGCCCTGGAGAAGGACGTCTC